CAAAGTCAGTGAAACCCCCCCCCCCCCCCCAAAATTACCTTTCTACCCCTTTCTCCTCCCTCGCTCTTTCATTTCTAATGGGCCTGCCTGGGCCCATTACAGGCCCATGAAAAATAAATGGCCTGTCTAAGAATAAATGGTTTTTATGGGCCTGGGTCCATGAATGTCAAATATGGTTTTTTTTTTTTTTTTTTTTTTTAAATTAAAGCGTGTCGTAAAAGGATGTTTGAGAAACATGACCGACGAAAATACGATGAAATTGAGGTATTATGTTTAATCACGTGAAAAATGTATTTTTCTTTTAAATAAAATAAAATAAATGGAAAAGAAGTCCACGCAAAGGCATCACATGGGAACTTTTTGAACTTTTTCCCTTTTTTGTTTTCTTCATTTTTTAACAAACATAATTGAAATTACATCCAACTTTTATTTACTAAGTCAAATCAATATTTCTTTCTTTCTTTTTATTTTCTTTTATTTTTACCTAATACATATTATTTATTTTTCTAAAATAAATATTTCTTTTATTTCTTCACACTTTCCCTCCAGTTTTCTAGACCAAAGAGGTTTTTACGTCCTTGTAAAGAATATTTCGTTCTCCTCCCCAATCGTCGTAGGATCTTATATTCTACCCCCATTCAAGCTCCAACATCCTCACTAGCACTCGTTCCTTTCTCCAATTGATGTGAAACCTCTCAAATCCACCCGTTTCAGTGCCCAGCATCCTGGTTGGCTACCTCGTGTCTACCCATTTTGGGGCTCAGCCTCCTCGTTGGGACATCGCTCGATGTCTTGCTGTAATACCATTCGTAACAGCTCAAGCCCATCGCAAACAAATATTTGCCTCTTTGGATTTTCCCTTTCGAACTTCCCTTCAAAGTTTTTAAAATGCGGAGGGGAGGTTTTCACACACTTCTTAAGAAAGTTGATTTTAAAAAAAAAAATCACATGCTAAATAGTGCAAGAGAATGTGGCATTCTTTTATTTTTTTAAAAAAAAAAGTAATTAAAAAAACATCCCCATCTCCTTTTTAATAATGTGATATGAGTGTGGGTAACATGTCCTTCATAACCAAAAGTAAAAGAGAAAATACATTTTAAACCCCTTTTAATTAGACACCCTAATTCAATCCCTTTTTACATATTTTTTACTATAAAAAAAATGTAAATAGGAGAGATCTATATGAAATATCGAAAAAATTTTATAAACTTGAGCATAGTTCAATTCATAACTACTATTTAAAAGGGTTTTTTTTTTTGTAACCATACATTATATTTAGGATGGAGAGATTCAAATCTGTAATTTTTTCTAAGAGGTGGTCTCATTTTTTCGGAATGTCAAGATGTAAAATTAAATTTTAATTCGACAAAGATAAGAATAGAGCCTGAAAACCATCCCTTTAAATGAAAGATAAGAGAAACTAAACTATTGGAGGCTATACTCGAAACAATATCATATTGTCCGATAGCTACGAAAGAAATTGACCAAAAAGTGGTAAAAGGGTTGAATGAATGAAGGGTAATGCATTGTGTTTGAATGGCTCAAGAGTATTTTGTTAAAATATTAGTCTCATCATGGGTCAATGAATGTATAAGATTCTCCACTATCATCCTCCTAAACATTAATACCTAAAGTCAAAAACCACTCAAATCTCCACCTTCAATTTTGTATTACTATACTCTTAAACCATAAAACAATATATAATATTTAAATTCATTAACAAATTCAATGCATTATTTATACTCGAAATCCATCCCGTCTAAATATACTCTTACTAAAATACGTATACAATCTGTATATTAGATGTTTATAACAGATTCCATTTTGAGAGAGTTGAAAAAGCACTGTCTCGTATTCTATACATCTGGCATTTCTGTAGACAAAAACTCTGTTTTTTCCTCTTTTCGGATGGTAAATATTTCTCAGAACATGAAATGTGAATCAAACCCATGTTTGAATTGAAATTGAGACCGCTCTGGATCAGATAGATTCATATCTAAAAGAGGTTGACAAAAAGTTGTTTTAAAATTGACTATTTGTTTCTCTGTGAGAGATGTTCCAGAAATGTCTGCCGTAATATTTAGTATCGTAACATCAACTAAACAAGATCAATTAAGATCTTACATTTAATATATTAAATTATTTTTATTTATTTAATTTGTTGGAAGGGTAGGAATGAAGGAGAATCTTTAGGTAGAAGCGTCCGACAAGATTGATTGGAGAGGTGGAAAACGAGTGGGGATAATGCATCCATCCAAACGCCGCGTTTCAAATGTTTTTTTTTTTTTTTTTTTTTTTTTACG